AATTTTAATAGGCAAAATTTTCAGATTCTCAAAATTTTTCACTTTAAAGTCAGTATCAGAGGTGGCAACCTGTCAAACGTTGTTCTCCAGTGTCTAAGCTATACGAAAACGCCAGTTTCCAGTTTGTAACTTTTATTGAGGTTGGCTGGCCGTCTACAGTGCCATATATATTATCTGCATTTTACAACATTTCGCAACGAAACTTCGGAATATTGCTAATTTTGGGATGCTCTTTCAAGCTGTTGTACATGTGTTGAAATGTTTGTCTAGACTTGTCTAGATCAATTTTTTTTTTCATTATTTAGGGAATATGTCACCATATTTGGATTGAATTTGAAAGGGTGTACATTTTTTGATACACCCTGTATGTACAGTGTGTATCAAAAAAGTATTGCCTTTCAAATTTAAATCAAGCATAACGCAGTCAAATAGTTATTTTGAGAACGAACACCCTCGTACCCAGGGATTTTGCTTCCGATGTTGGATGGTACAAAATGCCCTGGGTACAAGGTTGAGAACGAACATAACGATACAGTTAGAATAGCATAGATCAAATTTTCATGTTATAGATAGCTCTATATTTTAGTAGATACGCGAATACCCAGTCAAGTAGTTATTTTGAGATTAAGGCATACAGTTGGTTACTATAGTTAACATTAATAGATATTGCTATAGTCAGATATTTTAGTGAAGTGGAATAGTGGACACACGGATAAATAGATACACAGCCAACTAGTTATAAAACTTAGCCTTGGGATGTTTTCAGGTATGATTCTGGCGTAATTGAAGAAATTGCCTGGCAATCGTTTTTGGAGACTAGACCATGTTTTCTCATACTGACGTCAGATTTTTGTCTAGGTTAGAAAGATTAAAAGAGCAAACAGATCCTTTCTTGCGCATTTATGTGCATGGTTTAACTGTGTAACGGTGTAATGTTCCTCATTATTAGAATGTTAGGGTTTGTAATCCAAGTGATTATATACATTTTAAGACCTGACCAGGAACGACTGCGAAAAATGCAGCACAAGGAACGACTGCGAAAAATGCAGCACAAGGTCCTCGCAGGGCCGTAGGTTCAATTCTTACCAGAGGACCTTGTGCTGCATTTTTCGCAGTCGGTCCTGGTCAGGTCTTAAAATATATATAATCACTTGGATTACAAACCCTAACATTCTAATATTAATTCCACCAAGTGCAGTGCAAGAAACCACATCATTCAATGTTCCTCACAACCGGACATTAAATGGTGTTTGACAGATCATGATTAATTAGCGTCGCAGGGAAAAAAGTATTTTATATTATAAAGCATATTTAGCATATAGTATCAAATTATAGTCTTGCAGATATTTCCTTTATAGTAACAATTCGTAATATTGTCTTAGTAATGAGTTTGTGTATATTAGAACGAAGGAATAAGATCTAGATCGGGTATATATACGTATCCAGTGAAATAATGGCCTAATTAGTTATATATCTTATATGATATCGACTAAGTTACGATATGATTAAGTTACCAATGGACGAGCATTCTGCAATACTTTTGTGGAAAGTGGTCTTGATGGTCCGCTTTGAATCTTCCAGTATTTCCTTGCACGCTAGTTATATTATCCTGATTCATCTGGCAAGCTATATAATTGCTTCGAACAAGTTAGCGACCCGTAAAACAAAATACTTTCTACTTATGGGACATATATGTACGAACAACTCAATGAAATATCCTTTAAAGTACAAAGCTCGCTATTAACTCCACGCAGTTGAGAACAATCAAATCACTTATAATTATCGTTAATTTGAATTTGAAAAAATTCGCCGAAAAAGTTGGATCAGTTCCTACTCTTTTACTGTTCGCGCGAAAAAAATCGCCTATTGGAGAACGGGCTTAACGTTTAGATTAATGCCATTTCCTATACATATATACATAATAATTATTAATGATTTGTGTAATTTTGATGCAGTTATGCGTGCATGAGGTGATCTTATAATGGACAACTTGCATGTTAGACTAAATTTTAATCCAAATAAAGAGAAGGGAATCAAACATCACAACTAAAAAGAACATTAGTCAAATTGCAAAAATGAAATTAGTAAACTTGCAATATTTGGTTGCGAATGATGTTAAACTTTGGAAATATAGCCTTGCAAAGTTTTCAAATTTTGTATATGTTTGTCAATGACGTATTACGTACGGAAATTGTTACTAATTCGGCTCAAAAATGGTAACAATTTCCGCACGTAATATAAACAAATACAATATATGCAAACCTCGCAAGGCTATATTTTCCGTGTTTTAGGTGTACAACATTTCGTAACCAAATTTTGTAATTTTAATAATTTTAATAGTTCTTTACGGGAGTTTCCTTTTTTGCCTAGTCGTCAGTATTCTCTACGAATTTAAATTACAGTCACTGATCTCGTAGTTGAGTTTAAGTCACTGATCTCGTAGTTGAAAGTGAAAAATTGCAGGACAGCTTCTGGCAGTACAAGCTCTCAGACCCCTAGCCCCCAACTCAACAGTCAACACCACCCTTTACTCCGCGCCCCGCCCCGCAATCGCTCCGCAATCGCTTCGCTTTCTCTGTACACAACTGTAAGGTCCATCACAGAGGTGAAAAAGCATATACCCTATAGCCATTAGTGCTGCACCAATGGATAATTCCAGCTATATAGACGAAATTTTAATCTAGACAAGAAGAATTACTGAACGGAATCCATTACTATAGCTGGAAAGAGCATCTTAAAATAAGTAAAATTGCAGAGTTTCGTTGAGAATTGTTGTAAAATGAGGAAAATATAGCCCTGTGAAGTTCGCAAATTTTGTATGTATTTGCATAAAACCTTACGTGCGGGAGAAATAACCGTTTTTGAGCAGAAAGTACATATTTTGCTAACTTGACGGGGTTATATTTTCTTCATTTTACAACATTTAGCAACCAATCGTTGCAGTTTTACTCATTCTAAGACGCTTTTTCCAACTGTGATGTTGGAGTTCGTTCTTCTTGCCTTGACAAAAAATTACGCTATAGCTGGAATCACAATTAACATCATCTATTTTATAATCTGTTCATAGGATGAGGGTTAAAAAAAACAAACCAATCATATTCGGCAATTGTAAAGAAGTTTTGGCGACAGTTATAATGTTTTACTTTGCCGCAAATCTCGTTTTCGGAGCGGAAGAGAACGAGACTGAATTTTGCAGAAGAGGATGGTCTGAATTCGTGAACGACAGAAAGAAATGGGCAAGTAAATGTTTAAATGAAGATAATGGGAGGGCATCATTGTGTTGTAACGTGACAGCTGGCTATCTTGAACACCGATATGCAGACTATATAAAGTGGTGTCCAATTGTGGGTAAGTTCTTTGACGTAGATCAGGCAAAAAATGAAATAAATTATATCTATATAGACTGGATATTACACGGCGGCGCGACGATATGAATTTTATCTTCGAGTGGTGAAAAAAAGTTTACGAATTGAGTGCAACGAATGAGTAAAATATTGTTTTTACCACGAGAAGATAAAATTCATATCTTGAAGCCACCGTGTAGTGTTCTTTTTATTATATAGTCACTTTCACAAAGCTCGCCATTTTTACTGCGAAATGACAACTTGTAAACACAATGCAATTGCTGGCAAATGATCACGTGGTCGAAACATCTCTGGTTTTTGTTTTGTAGCCGATAAAACACTCCTTCGCGTGTTTCAAATAGTACTTAAAATTCTTCAATTTTCTTTCATTAGAAGGCAGATGCGCATGTCATTATTATACAGAGCGAGAAGTTAGTCGCATTGTGTTCGATAATAAATCAATCCAACTGTCGTGGAGCAAGCCTAACTTCACTTGCCCACATAAATATCTGCTTAATCGTCAAAAGGTTGAACCAGACATAAAGTCGCCACGCAATTTCTCCATTGGTCGACATGAAATCAAGAATATTTTTGAACTGTATGGAGGCATAAAAGTAATATGTACCATTGTCTTGAATGTTCGATTATGTCGTAAGTATTGTCTCTATATATCTGATTGTATGTATTAGTCAGGGACCAGCTATTAATATTGCAATGGGGGAGGGGGTAGTATGTGAAACCTCCAACATCGTACTTTTTATTGAGATGGAGCGCAATACATTTATCTTCAAGACACCTACGAATTCCATATCGACTATTTTAGAACCTCCTTTATAATTTTATTAAAATAAACAGGTATTTTTCAGTGATTTCAAAACATATTTATTAAATTAAATTAGATCAAATGCATAATATAATGCAAGAACGTCACGCTCCTGCATTATATTACGTATTTATAAACAGCGAACCATGAATCTATAACAACTACCAGTGACCCGAAACTCAGTATGCCCAAGATAATATGCAGACGGGCAAACATTGTCCAGTACGACTTCGTTTTCTTTGTCTTAATCTGACTCTCCAATATTAAATGTGTGCTGAAATCAGCATCAAGCGTTATAAGCCCCGGCCAAATTGCCATAATGATATATGGATTAATCTTTTTTAACTAAAAATGCAATTCATACATTTCTTTGTAACAAATTAAAGCAAATCAAGAATGTCCAAAAAACTGGAAAGAATATGGCAATTCATGCTATCTTTTTGTCATACCAAGTTCACGAATCCGTAGAATGAGCTGGGAAGACTCCAGAGCTAACTGTTTAAGACATGGAGCTGACTTGGTTTCTATTCTTAACTCCTCAGAAGTTGATTTTATTAACAAGCAAACAAAAGCCCTAGGAAACTATAAGATTTATTGGATTGGGCTATTACGCAACAAGACGACCAGTGATCCAAAGGAAGGCTGGATCTGGAGTGACGGCAGTGACTTTACAAATCCTCAGCAGTGGCTGCCGGGTGAACCAAATAACTACCAGAATAATCAAAACTGTGCCCAATTTTTCGAAACTAACAAAAGGTGGATTGATTACAATTGCTCTAAATTATCTTCTTCGATTTGCAAAAGGAAAAAAGGTACTGAATTTGTGTAATATATTTTCACATGATATTTAGGCTACCGAAGTTTATATAAAAAATATCTAGACCATTCAACTAAGCAGTTTTCGAACGCTTTATTGTATCGACAAGTTTTAATTAAAACTTGTAAGACCACCACTTCTTCATTTTTTATAACAAAATTTTACTGTGGTAACAGGGAATCCGGTATCGTTTGTCGAGTTTCTGTTTTGTAGCTTTGTACGTTCAGATATACAGTATTTAAATTTGAATAATGTAAACATCCACATGGTAAAATCATGTTAATCGCCAACACAGTATGACAATTAAAAATTAATATTAGGAAATCTAATCTAGCTCGCGCGGTTTTGGTAAGTAGAGTCTTCGAATTGTATAGGAAATTGCAAGGTTCGAGAAGTATTCATTAATACTTCGAGAACAAGTGACATTGACTATGATATTAATGAAAAATCGCACCTGTGTTTGGCGAAATATTTATAATACCACGAGTGCGTATGAGTGCGAGTGTGCACCTCCCCAAACTTCCCCCAAAATCCAGCCATGATCCGAATTATAGTATTCCTGATAAATAAATGATTTTATATCATCACTATCACAGTCATCACCACCATCATCATGATCATCTAGCGTATCTCTAAAAATTGTTCCTTTTAGATTACAATAGCAGTAAGTTTCGCATGATTTACGCTTTCTGCGCAAGGCATTTCGGGGAATCCCCAGCAGCATAACAAAAGCGATTTGTTTTGCAAAGGTTTTTGCATATGTTTAATTAAATCCCAAACTCGGAACACATGTAAATTATGTTAGCTGTTCCTATTTTTAAAAAGAACAACAAGGGCAAAGGAACAAATTGTTTCCATTTGAATTGAGTTGCTCCGTTCGCTTTATGTTCTGCAAATCGGAACGGTCTAAAAGGAATTGAATTAGGAACCCTTAATTCGTTCCTTTTCATAGTCCTTTGTTGAGGATCAAAATGTTCCGCGAAGCGGAATATCAATACACAATAGCGTTTATTTCCTGTTATTGTTCTCCGATTGCCTTATGGACATTTCGTTCCCTTTTATTGTTCCCTTTTATTGTTCCCTTTTATTGTTCCCTTTTATTGTTCCCTTTTATTGTTCCCTTTTAATGTTCCCTTTTATTGTTCCCTTTTATTGTTCATTACCATTACCACAACCATCATCATCACAATTCATCATCATCGTTCATCATTACCATTCATCATCACCATTCATCATCACTACCACGATCATCACTACTACCATCATCATCATCACGATCATCACCACACCATAATCACATCATCACCAAAACCACTATCATTATCACCATCTTCATCACCATATCACCACTATCACCACCATCATCATCTGTCACCATCATTATCACCATCACCACACCATCATCATCACCATTATCATCATTATCACCATCATCAGATCATCACTATCGTTATCACCATCGTCATCATCATTATCTCCACTATCACCATAATAATCATCACCATCATCTTCGTCATCATCACCATCATCTTTGTTATCATATATCTGATACAGTCTCCAGGCAAAAGAACATTGACCTTGCCCATATCGGCATGATTATGACCAATGGAAACACTCATCCAAAACCTCTAAGCCACATTTACTAATTCCGAATGACTTCAGTTATAGATTACTGTGGTTGTGAGTCAGAGTATGAAGTTCATCGTTGGAAACCTGCAGTGCACTGGAATGAACCCTGTCCCGTATGTACGAGTACGACAGAAAATGCGCTGGAGGTTAAGGAACAACTTAGCCCCAACATCAAACCACCAGCAGCGCTTGGTGTTGGAGAACATACCATTAACTATAAATTCACATATAAACTGTCATCAGGAGGGTTAAGAGAAACCAACTGTTCTGCGAAAATCCGAGTAAATGCAGGTATGTATATACCTGACCAACCTTTTATATTATACTGGATAACAATATTTAGGTAGGGGTATTGCTTACTTCCTTTTTTCTTCGCCCATTTTTTCTAACCCATTTATTCAAAAATCCTCAAAACCTTCAATAAAATAAAGCGACTGCCACGCAGGCTAGTTAATAATCTATTAATTAATCTTACAATTCTAGTGGACCATTCTAAACGAAGTAAATTTGTAAACCATTGTTCCGAAGACAGACTGACCTCTGTCCTAGATCCATATTTAATAAAGGCTGTTGCGTTTATTACTCGAAGGATTATGATTTTTTCAAAGAACAAGTATTTCCTTCAAATAACGAACGATGGATTTGTAAACGGGACACAAGACAAGAAACTCTCAACCGGTAAGTCAAATGTAGCTTTGTTTTTTTATCAAACTTTGGAGGAAACTGCCGATCTTTTTAAATGTTGTTCGAGATGAAGGCTTCCTTGACCTTGAAGGGCTTCACGGCACATATTGTTCGTTCATTTTGTTTTGGAAAACATAAATGGTTTACTTCGCGTGACTCGCTATATCGGATTAAAGAGCTCCTGGATTATGATAACGATTCTTAGTATTTATTTATGATATTTACTTCACCATAGGTGTAAACGATTGCTTGAATTAAGTCGAAGAACATCGCTTCTGTTTCTTTCTTACTTTTCTTTCCCATTTGCGACAAATGGCGCAGAAATCTCGACGTGTCAATGGCACTACAAATGTCTACAGAAAGTGAATAGGTCGGAAGAGGCAATTGAAAAGCTGTAAGACACTTCTAAAGAAATCTCGTAGCCATTTGTAAAGCTTGACTTGGTCCAGGAAATTGTTTTCGTGTGCTTGGGAGATGTTAGTACAAAGCGTGTTGCGCTATTTTAACGTGTTTTTAATTCTGCTCACAAAAAAAGAGTTTCTCACGGCAAGTTACTTTCGTGTTTACCTAGCCTTGTCGTTTTGAAAGACGTGTGTATTTCTTTCATATTGTACGCCTCCATTTGCAAGATATTTCTTTCAAGCAAATCATTGGAGGGGTCGAAAAACATGCTTGATTAGTGTAAATTGTAGGTTATGAAACGAACTTGTGTCGGCCATAAAGTAGTTACAAATCATCTTTTGCAGACTTTTGAATTTACATTAATTACAAACGAAATGAACGCCAAAACGCCATCCTGCTTATATCTTGACCTTGGGGTAGTTATATTGACTCCAACTATGTCAGTGTCGCTATAACGACAATCCCACACTTCGAATTTGAAGTCTTGTCTTCAAATTTCTGAAGTCTTCTGTCTTTTTGTTCGCCTGCGACTTTTTAGATGCAATTGGAGAGTTGTTGCTTAGTTTTTTCCGATTTTACGAAGTGATGCACTACCAAATGAAAATTTTCAAATATTGAGTTGATTGGTTTCGTTACCACGGTTTCGAAATTGAAAGAAAAACTTTTACAGTAAAATATTTAACACTTATTTACTGGGTGCGAGGGAAACAGTATGTTTTGTGGCCCCGAGACCGTCGATGTTCATCATTACGACCATCGATCACATTGAAAGGTGATAGCAGGGCGCTTATATATATATATATATTGCAAAGTTGCGAAATTGCATGAAACTCTGAGTAGCAACATATACCATTTTTAAGATTAAATAAATATATATATATATATATATATATATAGATATATATATATATAA